TGAAATCAGCCGCTGCTTTCATCTAGCCGTGTTCAGTCATAACAGGACAGGAGGATCGTGAGATTCAGAGGAAGCGTGTCGTGATCGGCCCTGATAATGACTGACTGAGACTGATTAAACCAGTTACAGTCACACCATCTTCATCAGCAGCGACGAGCCGAACGAACCCAAAGACCTTCAGCCACCATACGGCAAAAAATCAAATATATTTTTAAATATGTTTCAAAATGGCTAAATACATATGTGTTTCAAAATATATTTATGTTAATATATTTCCTACCAGTATATATTTTTTGTATATTTAAAAAATATATTTTTAAATATTTATATAAATATTTAGTCATATTTATAACAAATTGCCAAAAAATATATATAAATATATTACATACATAAATACATTCACACATGTCACATTGGAAGAAAAACTTTGTTGTCTATAACAAGTGTGAATATGTAACACACTTGAATATAAATCAGCAAGAATTCATATTTCAAAAATATATTTCATCAAGCTTATAAAATACATATATTTAGCATGTATTTTAAAATATATTGTGGCCTCAAAAATATACATTTTTTTGCCGTATGGGATCAAAATGACGTTTTGTGGCAGGGGAATGAAGAAAAAACACAAGGTTTAAAGACATGTGACACGTTTTAGACGTTTAAAAGTTTAACATTTTAACTTGAACACTTGAATGTGTTCGAAATTCTGCAAAAGACACAAGATGCGAGAACAACTTTAAGCAAACGTTCTATTGACGTTACTGGAAGAACGTTGAGAGAACCTTGCCAGAACATTCTGAGAACATTCCCTGTTAAGCCCAAAGTACGCTGCACTTTTTACGCGTACGCTAACGTATGCGTACAGTGCGCGTGACGCAAATTCCGTCACCAGAATAGTACGCGCGCACTATACGCGCACCACCTGATTTTTGGAACCGTACTTTGTACGCGCAGGTCACACATGCGCATTGAATTTGTTTTGCACTAATCAGTTGTTCCACAAGGTGGCAGCACTGTAGACAACAAAACTAAAGAGATGGAACAACAACAACAAATATGCGTTCGACTGTGTGCATATGCTAACGTATACACATACAGAAATGAAGTATACTTTGGGCTTTAGTGCATGTTCACATGTCGGATCTTTTGCAGTGTCTCGCACATAAGCGCCATGTTTTTAAGACGCTGTGTCAAGTTAAAAGAATTTCAATTTCTACACGCAGCGCTGCTCATCAATGTCAGTTCCAAAACAGTGAACCAATCAGAAGAGCCCGGAGGCGGGGCAAGCTTTTGTTTACAGTAGCAAGTTGACATGGCAACTGTTTTATGGCGGAGGCCTTTTCTGAACGCTGTGTCTTTCTTTTTAGACGCAAAGACGCGTTCTGTGTGTTATTCTGCCCACTGCAGCACTGAGAGAAAGTTTAATAAGAAAAACCACAGTTTTAATGAGCAGTATTCATGTGGTCCGGAATAGATTTAATAGTTTTGACCTTTAGTTGACTCTCACTTCACTTTACACTGCAAGTGCTGCTCTTCCTCAGAATCCGTCTTGTTTTCTGCAAATCTCTTCAGATTCGTGATCTAAGTGACGGGTTTGAGTCTCTCTTTCTCTCTTTCTGTGTGGTCTATATTAACCTCCAGCTGCAGTGAGACTGTGCTTCTGCGAGTGATGTTTAACAGCTGCTTCAGTGCTCCACCCGTCTCCGCTCGTTTCTGTCTGTTGCTTCGTTTAAACTCTGTTCATTGTGAGAAAAAGCACCTTGGAAGAAACTCACTAGTTTGACTTTATATGTAGATTAAATGTGTTTGCATTTCAGGCCATGAGAGTAAAGAGCAGTTCACTGGTGTTGTGTTATGGATTAAATCTAATCGTCAGATCTTTATATTTAAATATCAGAATTAGTTTGACACAGATTGCATAAACACACTGAATAGCCACTTTTTGGACAAAACAGGTTGTTAAAGTCATCAGACACTTACGGCAAAAAAAATACATTTTCAAATACATTTTTTTATATATTTCAAAAAGTGGCCAAAAATATATTTGCAAAAATAAGTTTCAAAATATATTTACTATTTTTTTACCAATATATTTTTTGGAAAATATATTTAATATACTGTATATTTTACAAAGCATTTAAAAATATACTTTGTCCGCCACATATTTCAATCTAAAAAAAAAAAAAAATCACATTTGTCACATTTGAAGTAACATTTAATTTTTTTGCCTAGAACAATGTGAACATATGATGCATGTGATTTTATGGCATTTCACAAAACGTCCCAACTTTTCTGGAATTGAGGTTGTATGTGTATATATATATATATATATACATAGGAAATGTATTTTCTTGCCCGTGAAATACATTCTGAAATATATTTTGGTTGAAACTAAACATATTTTACATTTCAAAAATATTGACCTATTTCAGATGCGGCCAAAATTACAACAACAGTGTTACATACACATATATTTAATTGTTTGATCACAATTATTGCTAGGCACAATTTAGCAGTCTCTGGATATTGGTAGGGATGTGTCATAGCGTACATACTAAACTCTACACCCTTAAGACATAAAATACATCAGTAATATCCGCTTGTGATTTTTAAAGCCTTTACTTGCTGTCAAGTGTGTAATATGGGACTGCAGAGGGACATCAAACCAAACAGATAAACTCATTTACTCACTACTAGTGGCAAGCTATTCTAGTTTTTTATATTTAAACTCATATTCTACATAAATATTGAAAGAGTCGCAGACGTTGAAGTCATGTGATAGTGTAGATTGTGTTTAGGCTTCAAAAGTTGTGTTAATTTGTGAAGATTATTATAATGAACAAAACATTATTTTCTGCAACAATCCAAAAAAGCCAATGGAAAAATCCTGTTGGGTTTCCTCTGAAAATACGTCATCACTGCAGCCTCTCCTAAACCCCGCCCCCATAGACGTGTCAGCCAATCAGCTTACCTGAATGCCTTTGGCAAGTGACCTGCACTGCATTCAGGGTACACTTTTGCTTTAATCAGTTCTTGCTTTCCCTGGGAATCAAACTTACAATCTTGGTGTTGTGAGCGCCAAACTACAGGAAAGCGCAGGAAACATGAATGCTGGTGTTTTGTGCTGTTCTTGTCTCTCGTTCTGTCTGTTAGGTTTATTTGGCTGATACTCAGACGCTGCTGTGTTTCAGATTCTAGACCAGAATACACCCGGGCCTCGTTCCGCTGTGTTTTCATGCTGATATATGGACGGGAAACACAATGGTCAGAGTTATTGGCCCCCTTGGTAAATATGAGCAAAGAAGGCTGTAAAAATAAATCTGCATTGTTTATCCAATTGATCTTTCATTCAAAAAACACACAAAAATCTAATCTTTCATTGAGATAGAACAGTTGAACGTGGGGGGAAACCTCATTAGGAAATAAATTATTTTTGTGAATTTGTTGCCAAGGGGGCCAATAATCGTGACCACAGCTGTATTTATGTGTGTCTGAGATGAATGAATGAATGAGGGATTTATATAGCGCTTTATTGTGTTTTCAGTAAGTTTTAGTCTAATGCACTGCCATTACCTAGCCTTGCAAACTATTACTAAATAAAAGTATTAAACAAAATAGGAAATATTCCTAACCCTGCACAATTTGGCCCAAAAAAATTGTGATTATATATCTATATGACTAATAATAATATTATTATTATTTATTGCTATTATTATTACATAAAAATACAACAAAAATAAATAAATATTCCTAATCCTTTTGGCACAATTTGGCCAAAGCAAAATGTAATAAATGTATATCAGTATAACTATAAAATATTATTATTATTATTAAATAGAAATATTAAAAAAAAAGCATAAATATTCTTAATTAACTCCCAGCAATAAATCTAATAATAATAATGATTATATTATTACTATAAAGTATGAAACTAAAAAATTCCTAACCCTGCACAATTTTGCCATAAAATTGTGATTATATATCAATATGACTATAAAATGTTCCTGTGGCTCAGTGGTAGAGCATTGCGTTAGCAGTGCAAACGTTGTGGGTTCAATTCCCAGGGAACACACATACTGATAAAAAATGTATAGCCTGAATGCACTGTAAGTCGCTTTGGATAAAAGCGTCTGCTAAATGCATAAATTTAATTTAATTTAATTTAAAATCATAATAATAATTGGATTATTATTATTACTGTTTTTAATTAAAAAAATTAAACAAAATAAAAATATTTGTAACCCTAACAATTCTTCTAACTTATATTTACAAAATACGATAAAAAGTGTTAAAAGAAATAATGTCTTCTTGTCTTCATTTATTAATTTTCAGACTTTCAGCAGAGAGGCTAGGCTTATTGACAAGTATTTGTGGTGTAACATTGGTCCAGCAGTTAGTCCAGGACTAACCAGCATAAACCAGTCTGGAGACTCACTGAGTTACTCAGATGTTGTGGAACACAAAGGCCCTGAATGCTTACTGCTGATCATACACGTCACAACAATACATCAGCATGATGATGATGATGAGTTCCCAACATGCTGTCATTTGTTCCATCGTCTCAGGTTTGGGGTTTTGCCCTGGTGTTTGAATGCCTCTATTTTCAGGGTAAATGTTCTGAATTATACACTGTCAGTCTGTTCTTCAGTGGTGAGGAGGAGAGTAAGAGACACGTTTGCTGGTGACTTCATGACCCAACCGTGCACTAATTACAGGGAGTCTCGTCCATACGCATGTGTCTCTCCGTCCCGTCTCTATTAAATGCTTTCATTTGGCCCGTGTGTGTAATTTACTGAATCCAGTGTCCACATCACACATGCAGGCCAGTTGCAGTTTTCTGCCGAACACAACGCGCTAATGACTACTTCTAGCAGGTAAATGGGCTTGTGGTGTCCAGACATCAGCACGTGGAACATGTGTTTGTGTTTGTGTTTGTGCAGGTACAGGTCCGATCCACATGAACGCGGTGCAGTGTTCGGGCCGGGAGAGCTCCATCACACAGTGCCGCTTCCAGGAGGTCCAGCGTTACTCAGGCAAACACTCCCAGGATGCATCTGTCCGCTGCAACGTCCCCAACACCGGCCTGAGCGCGACGGTACGTGCCTGAGCACGACGGTACGCGCAGAGACACTTACTGTAATAGTACAGTAATCTTCCGCTTTGAGTCATTGGCAGCCTGTAGAAGCAGATGGTAAAAAGTTGTGAAATTTGGCACACTGGTCGAGGACCGTATGCACATTCATCATAGCAAATTTAGAATCTCTAACTCAAACTCTCTAGCGCCACCAACTGTCCAAAGTTGCACTTATGTTATTCCAATAACCGTAAGGACTAGAAACAAAATTCTTTAAATTCTTTGCTTTTTTTAACTCCTCCTAGACTGTTGCTCTGTTTTTCACAAAAATCAAACTAGGTCGTCTTCAGATCATGCAGAAAAAATCTAAGTGAAAGCATTCAAATTAGTCAAAGCATTCTTGAATAACACGCGAACGAATTTGACGAAGAGCACGCCATAGTGGTTGTGGCTGTATCTCTGCAACACTTTATCGTATTCAGACCAAAGTTGGTGTGTGTAATGACAACCATGACCTGAGGACACCTGCACAGTTTCAGCACAGCGCCACCTAGTGGACAGGAGATAGAATCCATAGATCATGCCAACAACATCGATACCAATTATGCTATAATCGTCCAAAATTCCTATCCTGTCTGAGTTTGGAGTTCATTTGGAGGACTAAAGTGTAGACTTTGTTATAAATTTTTTACTTGTTATATTATAATATTTTATTTACAAAGCACCCCAGCTTAATGTCTCTAAAAAGGAGTTTTTTATTTTCTTTGAAAACTTCTAACTTCTCGTTGACTGTTTGTCTGAATTTCACCAAATTTGATTCAGGTCACCTTCTCATCATCATGACAAAACGTTACGAAATTCAAGTTGATTAGTCAAAATGTTCTTGAATAACACAAGAACAGATTCGATGAAGAGCACGCCAAAGTGAACATGAGGCTGTATCTCTGCAACACTTCAACATATTCTGACCAAACTTGGTGCGTGTTACGACATCCATACCTGCACAGTTTCGACATAACGCCACCTGATGGTCAGGAGTTAGATTCCGTGGATCATGCCAAGAACAACGATACCAATTATTAAATGTCCTAGCTGCCATTTTGATTTTCTTTGAAAACCACCTTTTTCAAACTTCTCCTAGACCAATTTTCACCAAATTTGATTCAGATCATGATGGCAAAAAAGTTATGGATTTTGTGCTAATATATGTCAAACTGTTATCGTTTAGCACATCCACCAAATTTATGGCATGATGCCGAAATGGTTTTGAAGCTGTAACTTTCTGACACTTTACCATATTGAAACACTGAGTGTGTCATTGTGACCATCAATTTTGTCACGGCGCCACCTATTGATCAAAACTAATTAGTAATTGAATCGTGATTGTATTAATGACTTTTCAACAATTTTGCCTTAAATCATCTATAAATGTCTTTTTGCAGTCGTTCTGATGTTCCCTGCCATGCTCCTCATTGTCTCTCTTGTAGTGCTTGGCCCCTTAAATGCTGTCAGAGTACTGTAGTTAGTTATAGTTTGAGCAAACATGAAGCAGTGATATTTCACCTGACGAGTGACACTCGGGCTGCGGTGTGTCCCGTGATGCTCAGGTGCGTCTGGCGGGCGGGCGGGAGGCGGCGGAGGGCCGGGTGGAGGTGCTGATGGAGGTGAACGGTCAGCAGCGCTGGGGCTCCGTCTGCAGTGAGAACTGGGGCATTAATGAAGCCATGGTGGTGTGTCGACAGCTCGGCTTCGGCTTCGCTTCCAGAGCCCATCAGGTACATGACGTTAACTCTAATTTCTAAATGAAATTAAATATGTCAAATAATACAAATATCCTTTGTGTTTAATCCCATTTTATTAACCAGTGTCTTGGCTGCTGACCTTCGATGATCCAATTCAACCATATTAATATGCAAAAATTACTCAAACTAGCATTTGTTCTTTTTTTATTGCTGAAGAGTGTTGAACTTTCTTATTCTGCGTACTGTACAGACATTAATTTACATTTCCTTCCGCCTGTGGCGTATTCATTTCACTTTTGTTGTGAAAGGGCTTTTATATTTGCCAAAAATAGAACTTTTTATATTAAAAATAAACAAGCAAAGCCTGCCCAGATTTAAAAAGTAACGCAAAAGTAACATAACGCATTACTTTCCATAAAAAGTAACTAAGTAACGCATTGTAATGCATTACTTTTAAAAGTAACTTTTCCCAACACTGGCCGTCAGTAGCTACGTTTCCATCCAAAGTTGCTACTTTAGCTATGAAAATTTGAATATCACATAAAACATATGTGAATAAACCCCAAACTCCATCCCATGTGTTCAAGAGAATAAAATCGTGACTTTCTTGGAAACTGGCGCAAGGTATTAATAGTAAAAATTAAAGTTGCTGCAACCGGGGAAACAAACTTGTGGCTCTTTTTTCCAACATAATATATGACTTATTATAAATAACAAACAGGGTCATGTGATCTTGTGTTCGGATGCCTGATGTTTGGGAATCAATCATGTAAGACAGTTCTGATAGATAATTACACTAAATCAGTTAGATGATGGACTTTGGCTCAGGTGTTTCAAAATGATTAACACAGTATTTGAGACGGTGTGCGATGGGATCGATGTGCTGGTTAATCCAGTTATACAGTCACATGATCGGTTGATGTAAAGTCAGATGCGCAATGCGGAATTTATTTGGTAAATGTGTTCATCGTAGTTTATGCAAATTTGTATCTGATAAAAAACTTATCCGACTCAATTGAGTGCATACGTTTTTTTAGAACTCATGCGTATCTTGCCATCTTATCATCCAGCGTTTTTCGTGCAATATCCTCAAATTTGCATAAAAATAGGTGGATGGAAACATAGCTAGTGCGACATTTCTTATGGAGATTGTTCTGATCTCTTTGTCATCACACTGTGAAAAAACTGGCCAACCAATAGGATTTGTGCATTTGCTCAGAGACGCTGCTGTTGTCAGAAATGTGATTTCTTTGTGCCAAAGGTTTGTTGGTGTGTTTATTAAGACTCTCTCAGCTCGACTGTTATTGTGCTTGAAGCTTGAAGAGACCCTTATGAGCGACTACTGAATAATCACACATTGAAATAAGACACAACAGAACGTGATCATGTCAAGCTGCTCATTCAGTGTCAGATTATTTAGTAATGGAGAGCTGAATGTGTTTCACTGTCACTGCTTACACCCGCAGGGCTTTTGTTTCCCATGCAGAGGTAATTACAGCCCTGCACAGATTCAGGGTTAAAGCCTGTTTAAAAGCGGCTCTCGCTAAATAGACGGTGGAGAGGAGCGTGGAAAATATTTGATAATGTGCATGAATTAGCTGTAATAGGGGGAGTTATTAGACTCTGGGTGGATTCCTGTGGATTCAGTCTCGTGTTCGGTCCGTCCCGCAGGAGACCTGGTTCTGACACCTGAACACAAATACATATGTACATATGCACTCACACACACACACACACACACACATATACACACACTCTCAGGTGCTAGACTAGGATATGACATCAGTCTCCAGGACTTCATATCATATCATATTGATTATTATATAATATATTAAAATGTAACAAAATAATACATCTTTTAAAAATCATTAAAAAAAAAACTTACTGAAATGAATTAAATAAATACATTTCAAATTAAAATAAGTACATATTTTTTAAATTATCAAAATAAAACATTTACTAAAATATTAACTCAATCATACACGTCAAATTAACAGAAATATTTTTAAAATAAATCACTTACTACAAAATAAAATAAAACACTAAAAATGTTTTGACAAAAATATCAAATTAAAATATAAATAAATAAATAATAAAACTTTTAAAATAAAACAGTAAATATTGATTAAATCATACAAATGTCAAATTAACAAATATATTTTTTAAATAAGACATACTAAACATTAATGAAATCACAAAAATATAAAATAAATAATTTTTAAATAAAACAGTAAAGTACTTACTAAAAATTAAATAAATCATAAAACAAAATAATTTGAAAATTAATACACAATAAGAAATTGTTTATTTATAAAAATGTCAAATTAATATAAATAATTTTAAAATAAAATCAAAATAAAATGCTTACTTAAAATGAATTAATACATACGAATGTCAAAATAAAGTAAATAATTTTAAAATAAAAACAAAATGAAAACCCTTACTAAAAAAGGTGTAATATTTTATCAGTTTACTTACATGTCATATCATCATTACCCATGATCATGCAAATCTGTTGATAAATTATTGAAATATTAACTTAAAATCTCAGTGACTTAAAGTAAATATTTCAGAAGGGGTTCAGGCGACCAAAAAGTGTCGGTTTAATATAATATTTTGATTAAAGTGATTTGCTGCAGTATGTTGGACATTCATGCAGCTGTTAAATGTGCTGCTCTTGTGTATATGTGATGAGCGCGTGCTGTGTGTGTCCTCAGCGGCTCCGGATCTGGTGATCGACGCGCAGCTGGTGCAGGAGTCTGCGTATCTGGAGGACCGGCCGCTGCACCTGCTCACCTGCGCTCACGAGGAGAACTGTCTGTCGTCCTCCGCCGCGCGCATGAGCTGGCCCTACGGTCACCGGCGGCTGCTGCGCTTCTCCTCACGCATCATGAACCTGGGACGAGCCGACTTCAGACCACGAGCCTCGCGAGAGTCCTGGACCTGGCACCAGTGCCACCGGTGAGTGTGTGTGTGTGAGTGTGTGTGTGTGAGATGGTCACCTGTGTGTACTGGTTTATATATCCTGGTGGGGACTTAAACCTGACTACACACAGACTCATGGGGACTCGTGTCACGGTGGGGACCTAAATTGTGGTCCCCACGGGTACAAAAGCTTATAAATCATACAGAATTAAGTTTAGAAAATAAGAATTCTAATTCTAGATTAAGAATAGAAAATACGGTCTGTACAGTATAAAAACCATTACGTCTATGGGATGTCCCCACTTTTCACAAAAACAAACC